TCAACAATTTTTAGTGTTTTTTTATGTAATTACATCTTTATACAGATTCGGGAACAACTTTTGAGTTGCGTACAAAACAAGAGTGACTGACTTTGTTGTTATGGATAGAGTGGGAGCTCGATTTTTTAGAATATCGGCAGAAAGGCTATTTGAAGACAATGATAGGATTAGAGGACCATCACCTGCTCATCCCCTACAAATGGAGGGAATGACATTGTAGTTCGGCATCAAGCTCACAGATTACACCATTGCTAATCCAACAAGTGAGTACCCAATTATCAATATAGGGAAGGATGAGGAAGAGCAAACCACTGTAGATATTCTCGACTTGATCAAGGTAAATTCTACTTAAATCAAAATGACGATGAATATTAATTACATATTTATGCTATTCTGTATTGGATTTGGATATTTATACCCTATATATTTCATACTTTATATTATTTAATCTTCAGTGTTATCATGCAACGGCCGGATGAAGGGAGTTGTAGGTTTAATTAATAGAATTTGCTTGGATGAAGGGAGATGTGGGTTTAATTAATAGAATTGGGATTTAGTTATTTAATGGTCATATTGAGCTTGCTGCAAAGTTGGAAAATACCATTTTATTTCTTTCACTGCCTGCTTGAAAATATGGAGGATATGATATTTTACACCTACAATTTTATCTATAACATATATTGACCAATCATGATACAATAAAACCACACCATGTTTTACTTTTTAGTGTCAAATATATAAATTAATAATGTTCATGCAGGAGAACAAGAATGAAACTGCTAATGGTGGATGAGATGTTGGTTATGTTAAGAAGAAGAAATGCATTGTTTATAAGGATGGTATAAAGACTGGCGATGGGGAGAAAGAACAAATCCTTGATAATGTTAGTAACCGTGGTAAATTCTACTTCAATGAAAAAATAATTTATAATTGTAAATATATTTTAACATCCAATATTTGTTCTCAATGAAATGGAGGAAAAGAAGGAAGAGATAAATGAAATCCAAAAGAAGAAGGAAGAAACAATTGATATTGGAGATAAATGTGTTGCTAATGGATATGAAGACATTATCAATGGTGACGATGAGGTTGGTGCTCATGCCGGAGGAAATGCAAACACGCAAAAAAAAAAAACATGCACTAATCTCTGACGATAAGGAGTAATTAGAAGGGTCATTTTAATTGGTATTTAGGAGTCGGTTCCCTTGCATGGAGCTTTCTTTCATTTTGTAAAACGATTTTAGTCAATTAGTCATTACTATATCGGAAAAAAGTACAATGTTCATTCTTTTGAATTGTTGAAGAATTTTAACCATTTAGATTCTCTTATTCTCCCAATCGATTTGAATGTTTAACGAATTTAAAATTTCTTATATAATACGTAACTTGAATACAAATTGCTACTGTTATTTGATTGATTGACAATTGAATCCGGCCAACTGGCCGGGTCCGTGACTAGTACATACTATTAATCTATTATGGCTACAATGAGAAAACCATGATGAAGGGGTTTGAGCTTGTGTTTGTTGGGTTGAATACCGGTGTCGACGGAAGACCGGTGGGGCGTTATGCCTCAGTCCACCATTTGCTCCCTATTATCGCCACTGAATTCACTAAAATAAAATACTTGCCCAAAAAGCATAGCACCAACCATAAACTACATCCTCCAAGTAACTCCACTGTTCGTCTATAACAACGAAGTGCTAGTTGAAAAGTTCCTTCCAATGAAACCCCTCATAAATAAGTAGGAAACACAATTTATTCTAGGCGTACAACAAATAAAGACTACCCTACAACACCAAATCCTCCCTTAGAGACGAATGCAAGCTCTCTCCTTCCTAAAACAAAACATCTAATCCTCTGTCTTTCTCACTTGTGCAAACCACAATCACAGTTCTCACTCCCAATATCCACGGCAACACAAGGCGGCGATGGCGCCACTCCATCTCCGCCACTACCCTTGTACCACAGCTTCCTCTTCTCCGCCAACTCCTCCAAAAATCCGTCCAGCTTCTCGATCGTCACGTTCGGCATCACCACCACGTGAGCAATGTTCCCCTGGCACGCTAGCTGCCACCTGCGCACAAACTCCTCGTCGTGGGGGCGTTCAAACACCACCGTGCTGCTGAGTTCGTTCAGCATCGCGCTGATGCCCGCGTCGCGGAGCTTGTCCTTCAGGTAGTGGGCGTTGCGGAGGCACTTCTGGACCTCCTTCTGGAACCCCTTGTAGCCCTTCTTGTTCAGGGTGTACCACAGGAAGATTGGTGCGTGGCCATTTCGGCTACCCATGATCGTGGCATCTCGTGATGCTAGGTACTCGACGTTACTGGAGAGGACCTTGATGTGGGACATTCTTGTGAGCTGGACACCGCATGGCATTGGGCATCCAACGAATTTGTGTCCCGAGACGCTCACGCTACCAATTGGTTTCTTGAAGCTGACCTTCGGTGCCTGTACAAAACCAAGGCGTGTTTCTTTCAGCTTTACAGCGGAAGGTTACTTCCTGGATTTGGTGAAATAATCGCATTTCTTCAATCTCACTTCTTGAAACAACTATTCATAGAGCTAATGATGAGGAAGAGATGTGAAAAGATAAAGGAGCGACCTAAGGCTACCATCTCCCTGCTACAATAATGCTTGCCAGAGCCACTTCTATAGCATGGATATGGAGAAGGAAATTAGATCACTTACCCGTTTCACAAAAGGCATCATGAGTCCAAACAAAGCTCCATCGCAATGAATGTAGAATCGATCCTGTGGAAACCCGTTTTCTTCAAGGGTCTTTATTACAAGGTCGAGGTCGTCAACTGCTCCTTTGACAGTTGTTCCTGCAATGAAGATAATCCCAACACGAATGAGATAGTGTGGGAGGTTTGAAACAAGTGAGCAAATGAGAGTATGAGAGAGAAACCAAATGCATAGAGGCTTGATACCTATGTTGACATTTAGGATGGCTGGCTTGTCTTTGTTGGCAAGCAGTTGTTTTTTCAAATCCGAGCAATCAATTTCACCAGATGTCAAACAATCTACCTTGACACATTCCATTCTGTACATACGAGCTGCCTTGAACACAGAATAATGTGATTCCCGGGAGGCATACAAAATGCCATCAGGAAATACTTCCCTCCTGCGCAATCAAAATCATTACTTTCACATTACTCTTGACCTAATAGTTTGTCCTGAAATCAAAAAATGGCATCAAGTGACAAGACACACTAACCCCATTAGAATCCCATGAAGGTTGCCCTCTGTACCACAATTGGTTATGTAACCCCAGTACTCATCTCTCTCTATCTCCCACAACCGAGCAAACCAGTCCAAGACGCCAACTTCAAACTGTCGTGAATGAACACCGTAGTTGCTCTCAATAAATGGATCCCCAAGATTGTTGATGGAGAAATGTTGCAATTGTGACAGAGCACCATAATCGAAGTCCAAATTATAAGGATAACCTGCAGCAAAGCGCAACAAATCAAAATCCATGGCATTAATGGTCACCAAAACTTGTGCTACTTGGCCCAACATATTCCTCAACACACTGCACTAACAACAGTGATTTACAACAACCCATGAAATATAACAAAGCTTACCAGACACGAAGGGTACAGAAACAAAACACAGTAATTGATTTCATCTTCAGGTCACACAAGCACTTGAGAAAATCTTCACTTCCTGGACTGCATTTAGGTTTCCAAAGCTAAAAAGCGATCTTTCAAACAAGTATTCAGTCTTCGAATTCACCATCTATGACCATCTTCTATACACCAGCAGAAAATAGCTCCCTAAGCTAATGAGGCTGATCTCAAAAGAATATCAGCTTCACCACCAACTTGAAACTAGAAAAGATGGACACTCACAAAACCAGAGCTTTAACCCAATAGAATCGGAATAGCAGGTAGACCGAACAAAAGCAATCAGTTCCTAATTAACACGAATAAGGAGGGAAAAGAAGACGGAAAGATCTAAAGGCGATCGATTCCGTTACCTAGATGATGCTTAGTCCGCTCGAGCAAGTTGTTTCTGTAGCGAGCGAGGACGCCGGCCATGTATGCGTCTTTGTCTCCGGTGAAATGGTCATCAGCGTCGGGCTCCGTGACCTCCAGGCACGCCGTGTGAACATTTCTCCCCAGCACAATCTCCTTCTGCTTGGCGCCGCCGTTCCCCTTGTCGTCGTTTCCGTGGACGCCGTTCTCCGCGGCCACGACGGGAGGGAGTGGCTCCGCTCGTACGATGGCGATGGGATCGAAGTCGCCCTTCAAGCCGTTTAGATGCGGAGCCGTCCGGCCAACTGCGTGAACCTCCATGGCGGGTTTGGACGGTTTCCGATACGGCAGCGGCGGCGCTCAGTTGTTGGAATCTGGAGGAAATGGGAGCCGGGGATGGAGGCAGAAGTAAGGAGCCGATTGGGGAATTAGATCGGCTTTGCTATAAATAGCACCGGAAACGACATAGGAGCTGTGGAAAACTGGAAGTGGCGGTGGGCAATTATTATATGGGCGGAGATAGCAGTGTTGTTACGGTACCAACAGGACAAAACAGTAAATTAACATTAAAAATTACAAAATAAAAATTAATAAAAAACCACTCGCCCTCGCCCCTTCCCCTTCCCCTTCCCATGACTTCTCTCTCTTTTTCTGCAGAATTTCATCGCCGCTCATCTCCACAGTCGTCATTGTGCTGGTTAGGGGTGGCTATACGGTCCGGTCCGGTTAAATTGGCCCAAATTGATCCGGTCCAGTCCGGTTTTTTTGAAAATATAAGGACCGAAGATTGGATTGGATACAGTCCGGTCTTGATCCGGTCCGGTCTTGACCCGGTCCGGTCCCAATTCGATCTTGATTTTATATTGAGATTGTGGGAATTTGAGTGGCCTAAGGCCTAAAAGGGTGAGGAGTTGGTTAAGTTTTGTACTAAGTGCAAAGGTTTGTGACCGTTTATGCAAATTACACTTAAGTTTTGGGTGTTGAGCTCTCTTATCCGGTCTTTATCCGGTTTTTTACCTAAAATCTAAGCCCAAAGATTGGATTGGATTGTTTACTATCCGGTCCCGGTCCGGTCTCGGTCCGGGTTATACGGTCCGGTTTCCGGTTTTTTATCCGGTCCCGGTCCAAATAGCCAGCCCTAGTGCTGGTGGCTACCGGCTTATTGTGCCTATGAGAGCGGAGGCGGATGAAAGAGTAATATCGACGCCGGAGGTTCTTGGAGCATCCATCTCCTGGCGGTGGAAGCTGCGGTGGCAGTCGCATGCGGCGCACCGAAAAGCGCCCGGTGTTCCTTCTTCGCCGACGGGCATGAAATCGCCACATCTGTCGACCACGTGTCTCCCCGAGGAGGTAGCGTGATTCCTCGTATCCGACCATCGCATTGGGGGTAATCTAGATCTGAAATATTGCTCCTCTTCCTCCTCGTTGTTCGGTGGAGCGGAAGGTTTTGGATACGACCTGGTCGAGGCGGAGAGGTGGGATCTCTGCTCGGTTTTGGGGGAGCTTCTGCCGATACTGAAATTTGGTGAGTCCTTACCTGTTCCTCAACCGTCGCCCCCGGCGATTCTCACTGATCAAACGCCTAACGAAGCGGAGTCGAGCACCAGAATATGATTAGTAGTGTAAACACTTTACTTTACTGCTACTTGCATTCAGTGGCTGATCGATCTTGTACTAGTTTAGTATTTGTTTCCCATTTATGATGTTTGAACATGAATGAACCAACTATCTGATTGGAATTGTCAAAAAGTCTTAGCTCCTCTGTTTTTGCCCTGTTTTTGCCCTATGAAGTAGTAGTTTGACCATGTGGTGTATCGTAACTCTCTCTTTTTTGTCTGGTTACAAGCAGCACTAGCTAAACCTTCCACCTAGCTATTCGACCGTGTAGGTGATCTCCGCTTTTCATTTAAACTTTAAACAAATGAGAGAGTGAGAAGCTGGTTAGGACCCCTGATGTGAAAGGTTTGGTTTAAACCTGTTAATGTAGACCACAAACACTATAAAAAAATCATAAAATGTACTTAAAAACCTCCTAATGTATACCATAAATCGCTTAAAACATACCAGAAATCCCACAAAGCCAACCACAAATATTTTATATGCACACCAGAAACCGCCTTATGCAAACCACAAACGCGTTAAAACAAACCACAAAAAATCAAACCAGAAACCTCCTAATGCATACTACAAATCTCCTAAAACAAACCACAAACCTCACAAAGCAAACCACAACATTTGCGAAAGCACACCAGAAACCTCCTAATGCAAACCACAAACATAGTAAATCAAACCACAAAAAGCAAACCATAAGCGTCCTAATGCAGACCACAAATCTATTAAAACAAACCAGAAACCTCACAATGCAAACCACAACTTTTTTGAAAGCAAACCAGAAACTTCTTAATGCAAACCACAAACACGATAAAGCAAACCACAAAAACAAACCAGAAACGTCCTAATGCAGACCAAAAATATATTAAAACAAACCAGAAACCTCACAAAGCAAACCACAGAATTTTAAAAAACACACCAGAAACCTCATAATTCAAACCACAAACACGTTAAAGCAAACCACAAAAATAAACCAGAAACCTCCTAATGCATACCACAAATCTCCTAAAACAAACCACAAATCCCTCAATGCAAAACACAAAATTTTTGAAAGCAAACCAGAATCTTCTCAATGCAAACCACAAACACGATAAAGCAAACCAAAAACTTCTTAATGCAAACCACAAACACGATAAAACAAACCACAAAAGACATACAAAAATATGAGAAACCAAACCATAAATCTCACAATGCAGACCATAACATCCGGTGGTCGTTGGTCGTTGACCGGTCAACGAAGACCGTTGGCCGGTCAACGAAACCCGTTGACCGGTCAACGAAACCCGTTGACCAAACTCCGATGACCGTCAGTGAGTAGATTCCGGCGCCGATAAGCATATTCCGGTCCCGATGACTAGATTCCGACGCCGATAAGCATATTCCGACCACGGTGAGCATATTCCGGCGACGGTGGCATATTCCGATGACAAAATAGCATATTCCGGCGACAAAAAGCATATTCCGGTGACCGGCGGCCAGATTCCGGCGACCGATGGCCGAATTCCGGCGACCAAAATTTTGGGCCGAAAATAAAAAAATTTATTTTTTAATTTTTTAATTTTTAATTTTTTATTTATTTTTTAATTTTTACATAATGACAATAATACCCCTGCTTTGATTTTACACTAGGTCAACTTAACTAATAAAAAGTCATCACAACCCTAGCTTCCTATTGGTTGGAGACTAGTGTTGTTACAATAACAACAAAGGAAGTGTTGTTATAGTATCTAGTCCCTTATTATATGCCTCACCATGAATAATTTTTTTTAATATTTGTCATTAGAGTTCCGAAGAGATAATGCTAATGTTTATCATTTGTTCATTAAGTTTAATGGATTTACCTCTTATTCGATTTTTTAATTAATTTTGTTTCAGTTAACTACTTTATCTCTTCCTTTTATATTATTATTATTATTATGATCGATTTTAAATAATTTATATTTTGTTATTAAATCCAAATCTTTTTTTTTTACAAAAGATAATCATGTATTAGATCACAAAAAGATAGACAGCTACACCCTGGATATCAGCCAGGCCTGAAAGTCAAAGAAACGACTCATAGTCGGGTACAAAGAAAGGGCTTTTCTAGCCACCAAATGAGCTACCCTATTGCTACTCCGACCTATAAATCGAACACTAAACCCGAGGTTGCTGGCAAAATAATGCGTCACTTCTTCCAGCACAGCACCCACCCTATTGTCTCTTGTATCAGCCCGATTGATTTTCTCGATAATCACCTTGGCGTCCCCTTCAAACCTCACGCTCGTTAGACCTTGACCCATACACCAAAGCATCGCCTCACGGAGGACAAGTAATTCCACTACATGCGGGTCATCCATGACCGGGAACTGGATCCCCGCAGCCCACATGACATCATGACTCTGAGACATCAGCACCATTCCACAGATGACCTCATCCGTGTTCTCTTGGGCAGAATGATGAGCTGCAAGGACGTGGGCTTGAAGAGGTATGTCCACCGGGAGCCTCACCCATTCCTCATATTGCTGCGAAAACTGGCGCATCAAGGCAGTAACCCTATACTGTTTACCCTCAAAAACCACCCAGTTCCGAGATCGCCAAATGCGCCAGAGGATGGCCACCACAGCCATAAACAACGTAGGCTGATCAATTAAAGCCACAAGTTTTTTGAGAAAGAGCGGAAACGTGTGTCGGGGTAAGCCTTCACCTAAATGTTCCAGCCCAGCCGCCCCCCAAAGGGCTCGCGCCACCGGGCAATCCAGAAATAGATGTTCCATCGTCTCGGAGCTATCCCAACAGACCGGACATCTAGGATGTACCAGAACCTTTCTATGGATAAGGGCTTTCGCGGTGGGGAGGATCCGGTTGAACACCTGCCAAACAAACACATTCAATTTTGGCGGGATGTTGGCATTCCAGAGACGAATCCAACTGGCCCGATCCATCCAGCCAACCGCCGCTTTCCAAGTTCCTCTTCTCCTATCAAGAGAGACAGCCAAGTGGTAAGCCGATTTAACAGAGAAATCTCCATCAGTCGTATCATGCCAAATAAGTCGGTCCTCCACATTCTCCCGCGGGAGTGGAATAGCCTTTATATCGCGACAAGTAAATGGGTCAAACCTCTGGCAAAGCTTCCTATCACACCAGCGTCCTTCCCCGGGACAAATCAGTTCAGAAACCGGAGGGTCACCACCTGTCGGAAGAATCTGAGGATTATACCGAAGGGGCTCACACTGATTTTGAGGAACCCAAGTAGAGCGAAGCATGGACGCTGATCGACCATTGCCAATTTGCCAACTGACTCGCTGTTACTGTCACTCTAGAAAATGGCCAAGTGTAACCACTTCCTAAAGCGTAGTATAGCGGGTTTGGGTTTTATTATCAACCCGGGTCCTAGATGTGATGACTACTCAGTGAATTCGTATTATCTAGCAATGAAACTTTAGTGAAGGCCTAAACTAACAAGCAAGCAAAGCAACTAAACGGTTGTATTCAGGTTAAGAGAGGTCACCCGGATATGGTTCCCCCTAGTCTGCAGTTAAGCCGGATTGTAATTGCCAAGTTCGATTTCTATGAAAGTTATACTGCGGAAGGTTCTCAATCAGTCTGAAGTCTCGACTAAAGGTCTTCAGACCCTCTCAATCTGAGTCTCTAGCTGGCGACTAACCTACACCGGAGTAAACAGATTGAGGCCCTATGAACAAAACCTCCACTACCGAATTGAATTCGGTATAGAATAGTGAACTGGCTCCTCGACAAAAGTCACCAATTCACTACCTTCGATTAAGGATACTCTATCAACCTAGGCAGATATTATCATTCTAGGTTAAAGCAGAAACAACAGGAATTTGATCAGGATTCAAGTCATTCAATCATTCAAACCTCAATCGAATATAATCAAATCATAGAAACAGTACTTGGGTTCATACAATCAAACCTAACATACAGAACTAGGGTTTCCCATACCCAGATGAATGGGGGAACTACTCCATGGAGAGAGAAGCAAAAGCAGAATCAGACGCGGAAATCATACTGTGAAGATGGATTTCTACTCCTGGACGTTGAATCGGCACTTCTCCAAGCTCAAACCAAGCTCCAATGGTGTTGAAGATCGATCTAAGGCACTTGGAGGCTCTTGTTCGTCGCTTTCTCTCTCTAGGAACCGCTCTGTCTCTCAAAAACTCGAATCCCCTTCTGTTTGGCTCGGAATCCGCTTAAAAACCAGGCTTTCCCGACTTGCACGGCCAGGGTGCACGGTCGTGCACATCACCATTCTGGCCGTGCACCATGAAACGTACCGTATCAATTATTGTGTCTTCGTCCATCTTGCACGGCCAGGCGCACGGCCGTGCAAGCTTCATGGCCTGCCCGTGCATGGCCTCGGCGTGAGGCGCACGGCCAAATGGCTCAAGTGCACGGCCGTGCAGCCTCCTGGTCTGCCCGTGCACTCCCCAAAAAGCTCGCCCTTCGTCCGTTCTTCGTCCAATCGACCCCAGACTCGCTCCTAAGCCTTCATTCACGTACTAGGACCTGAAATATCATAAACAAGCACAACCTAGCGTGAAACCGGCCTAAAACACGAGAATCAATACCTCAAACGGAGTAAGAGCAGGGGTAAAAACATGTGTAACTAACGGTCTATCACCAACGCAAGCCCATCTCTAAAAGACGACGTCCAAACAGGATACTCTGCCAGCCCCATGAAGGCCGAGACCGCGCTTGAGCATTAAGGA